CCGTAGGCTCGGCAAAAAATAATCCCTCTTTGAACCCGCATAAACGGGTTCAGGGGCAGTCAACCTCCCCGAACGAGACTCTGCTCTTCGGTGGAGCCTCGTCTGTGTTCCTCTCTGCTCGAAGGTAGAGAGTTCGACTGTTTAGCTGCAACAGATCCCAGCTAGACTCTGTAGTCCGTTGACTTACAGATACTTATAGGTAGTTACTACTTATAGTAGTCACTCATGGGGGGTGACAGGTTATTCCATTACTTCAAAAAATTTAAATGCAATGTCAATCGTTATCTACTGTCTTCCTGATCACTCTGCTATTGTTCTTGCTCTTTCATAACGTTTTCTAATTCTTTCACACCCAGTAACCCGTTGCGTTTTACTGCCTTGCTTGGTGTAAATTTAATTAAAAAAAATGTCTATTGCCCTTTCCGAAACTGTAAATGTGTATTCGTCTTGAAGTGCTGAATGTTTTCGCAGTGATAAAAAAGAAAAAGAAAAACGCGCGGAAGAAAATCCTACGCAAAGCAGGAATCATTTATTTTAGCTCCAGCTGTCAATAAACAATTCGAGCCGAGATTAAAGCTCTTGTGTAAAAACTAATGCACTTTTCTTTCGGCGTCATTAACAAAAGAATGGCTCGACAGAATTTGCTTTTGTGCGTGTGTGCTTATGAAGTCAAAAGGGATATAAGCAATCCGCCATTGATATTCTCTAGGCATAAATAATTGACTGAAATTAGTCAAATCAGAAATACAGGTAAATATAAAACATAAGGTAGAAAAAGAATATCTACACCGGACAGCACCTCTTCTTTGAGAGGTGGCTGAGTTTATAGCCCGGTGCTTGACTAACGAGGCATATTTTCCAGCAGTAGGTTGCCATTTCTTTCTGCGGTAGACCAGTTGCCATCGAAGGCTATAGAACCCGGTCTGTCCTTCTGTTTACTCATAGTTGGGTAGTGGGGAGAAGAAGAGGATCCATACCTTTCCCAAGGGTTTTAGCACGTAAGTGAATGTAATTGATCCGACTAGAATTCGAACTCAGCTCTCTGATTCCTTAATCCACTATCCATTACTCTACCGTGCCTTCATTAAGTCAGTTATGTGTCATGTGTGATACACGCTTACGCGATCATGTATCTTTTGATACATGACTAACGAGGCAGATTCGTATCTTTCCCAAGGATATTAGCATGTATGTGAATGTAATGGCTTCGACTGGAATCCGAGCCGCTATCCATTACTCCACCGTGTCTCCTAAGTCATGTGTCATGCGGGATACACGCTTAAGCGATCATGTATCTTTCGATATATGACTGACGAGGCAGATTTTTACCTGCAGTAGGTTGTCATTTCTTTCTGCGGTAGACCAGTTGCCACCCAAGGCTATAGAACCCGGTCTGTCCTGCTATTTACTCATAGCTGAAGAGGGGGGGTAATAGGATGCATACCTTTCCCAAGGGTATTAGCACGTAAGTGAATGCAATGGATTTGACTGGAATTGCCGAGCCGCTTTCCATAACTCCACCGCAGTATAAATTTTAAAAAGAAAAGATTTTAAAAAAACGCGATGTCTAGAAGACGCTAGGTTAACTAATCCATAATGGACGGATTCTTCACAGGGTCAAAATCAGATAGATAAACAACAGTAACGAATGGTAAACACCGATGTACAAATTAACAAGATTTAATTATAACTAGACAATATATGAAAACATTTAGGCAAGAGAATACGTGGAAAGATGGGTGCTATACATTTATGCGTGGAAAGATGGGTGCTATACATTTATCTATGGAAAAATGGGTGCTATACATTTATGTGTGGAAATATGGGGGATATACATTTATGTGTGGAAAGATGTAGGCGTTATATTCTGAGGTTAAAAGCTGAAGCAAAATAACTTAACTCCAGTCTTTCTTCTGAAATAAAATATGTTTTTTTCTTTTCCCTTTTCTCTTTTTCTGTTTCTCTTTGTCCCTTTTACATTCAGCTTGGTTTGTTCGCTCGTGTCGTGGTGTCTTTTGATCTATTCAGCTTTTTTCAATGTAGCTTTCGTTACTCGGTTGCGGAGATTCGGTGCTGTATAAGTCATATATTCAGCAGTGAAGAATTCATTGTTCGGATCCTTCGTCCAATTGAGTGTGTCACATATGCCTTTCTTAAGTGATTGTCATGTTTCGTCATTCACCTAAGCATTTGATGTAAGCAGTATAGTGTGTTGAGTAGGACTGGAGTTTGTCTTTCATCGCGTAAGCTCTGTAGCTTGACTGTAACAAGTAAAAGAGGAATTATTCGCACAAGATTAGTTTCCACTTGATTATCTGCTTAGAATTTATGTGAGTTGGGAACATCATTATTTCTCTTCAGTTCGGAGAATCCATTCACATGAGGAGTTAATGGACAGTCTGTTTCCTTAGAGTTTCGTTACCCAACTGGTTTAGTTGGTGTGAGTTGCGGATGGCATTCCTTCACTTCAGTTCGGAGATACCATTCACATAAGGACTTAATGGAAGGCCTGTTTCCTTAGAATGTCGTCACCCAACTTGTTTAGTTGGTGTGAGTTGGGGATAACCTTCATTCTCTTTGGTTCGGAGATACCATTCACATGAGGACTTAATGGAAGGCCTGTTTCCTTAAAATTTCGTCACCCAACTGGTTTAGTTGGTGTGAGATGGGGACGGCATTCCTTCTCTTCAGTTCAGAGAATCCATTTGCATGCAGACTTAATATGGTCCGGCTCCTTCGAGTTTCGTGACCCAAATGGGTCATTTTTTCCCGCTCAACATCCGTACTTGGTCACGTGAGTTTGCACATGTGTGAGAATCTATTTTTAGCTACGGTTCACACCTATTGCTGTGGTCGAGAGCCTTTTTGCACTGATTGTTTTGTAGTCAGCGACTACTATTACATATTCACATGTTATTAGAGAGATAGGAAAGAGACAGGGTTCGCTAAGTGTAAAGTGTGTGTGGTCATGGGTTTTGGGGTTGCATAAGAACATAATATATATGTATATAAAAGAGAGATCATCATTTCAACTTACTCAAGGACAGAAACCCAGAAGATTAGAGAGGACGAAGATCATCTTGAATAAGTTGGAAAATGATCCTGGAATAATATATATATATATATATATATATATATATACACATGGGAGTGAGAGAAAGAGGCCACACGTTCACAACTTGATAAATACCTATCATATTTCCTCGTCATTGAGTAATGATTAATGAGCTAGTCTGTTTAGATGATTGTTACTGTTCGATACTTCTGTATTCCATACAAAAAAAAAAAACAGCTAACTTTGGAAACATATATATATATTAGTTTGAGCCATAATTTCCATTTTCAGGACCTAGTTGTCATGACGAATGTAACATCCTAACCGAAGAGGCGATGAAAATGTGTTATATACAACAATGTTTAACGCAAAGGTTGACTATGATAGATCTCTACAACCGACCCCTCCCAAAGGAAAAAACAAGACGTCATAGGAAAGATTTAGTGTCATCGTCAGGGTATTATTTATTTAGACCTCTTAAAATGCAATGAAACACTAAATACGTAATTATACGTCCAACAGCTGTCACATGTTCATAAAATTTTAGTCGAAAATTGCCCTACGCTTGTCAACAGGAAAAATGTTGTTCTTCATAACAATTCAATGCCACATACAAGGATAACACAAGAAAAAAAAAGGAACTCGGTTGGTCTGTTCAACTGTACTCGCCATATTTATCTGACTCCGTAACAACTGATTATTGCGTTTTTCGATTGATGCAAAACGTTTTGATGTGAAAATTTTCTCTAATAAAAACCAGATTCAGCAGTTCGTCGAAAACCTTTTCACATCTAAGTTAGCGAAACCTAATTCGTAACGTGTCAAAGAGCTGCTTGATGAGTGGCAACAAGCCATTGCTAATAATGGTGAATATTTGTAATTAAATAAAATGTAACTGTATTTTATTTTTTTGAAAAATAAAGTTATTTTAATATATTCATTGTCTATGTTATTTATATAGACGCAAATATTTAAGTAAATGCTCTGTTTATAATAAATAGTATTAACAACATTTACTGGCCTGAACGTCCTAGAAATGCCATTGCTAACCAAACGCTTCCTCTGGAGCTAAATAGCATAGCACACCAAGTTATCTGACGGTTCCGTGTAGGATACAGGTTCGATTCGATGTCGGAGGACACATATTTTCTATGAAATTTCTCTGACATTCAAGCTGGTAAACGTTGTCAATACTGCTTATTATAAACAGAGCATTTACTTAAAAATTTGTATCTATAAAAATAACGTATAAACAATAAATATATTAAAATAACTGCCAGACTTTGTCCATTTCATAGTGTGTGACGTCATTTGTTTACGTTAAGATACACTTCAAGCATATATGGACATTCGAGGGAGATCATGGGAATTTGTAGTTTAAAAACAGTAATTTAACCCTGCTAACCAGACACTTCCTCTCTAGCTAAACGGTATAGTACGCCATGCTATATGACAGCTCCGTGTAGGATACAGGTTTGATTCCTGTCGGAGGACACATATTTTCTATGAAATTTCTCGGACATTCAGGCCGGTAAATGTCGTTAATTACTGTATAAATATTTTTATCTATAAGAATAACATATAAATATATTAAAATAAATTCCGGACTTAGTCTATTCCATAATATAGAATAAAGTTAATAAACGAAGATGGAAATTATTTAGGACTAAACCTAATATTTTTATAAAAATAAGTAAATGACTCTCGCAATTATTTGGCTTTATCTGAGGTCATAAAATTTTTAAATGGAATGGAAACATTTTGAAGAAAAAAAAAACACGGAGATTATTTTTAAATTTAAAACGCAACAGCTATCATTCCCACCTCCTAACAAAAAAGACTCGGAATAAACTGATATGACAGATTTGAGACTCTTTTTTTAAAATTATTATTTGCTTGCTTGAGTTTTTATTTCTTGACAATTTTGTTAGGAGAATTACGGGAAATGTATCGACGTTTTCTTTTCTTTATTCTCAATTCTTTAGTTACTTTCTATTTTTCTGCTGATTCATTTTTCCTTGTCGGCTTTTCTCTCCGGCAATTCCTTTCCTTAATTCCCAATTATTCTGTTTCTGTCTTTTATTCATTCATTAACTTTTCTTTCTTGAGTTCATTTTTTCCTCTTTCGTTTTTCCTCAATCTTTGCTTTAATTTTTTTCTCTTTTTTAGGCGTTCCTTAAATTTTTCTTTTCCCTTTCGTGTCTCTCATTTTTTTTCTCTCTCCTTCTAAATTTCTTTTTTTCAGACTCTCTTTTCTTTACTTTTACCTTTTTCTCCATTTTCTCTTTCTTTGTTTATTTCTTTTTCAGATGTTCCCTTTTCTTTTCCTTATTTTCTCTATTTTCTTTTTTTCCAAACTTACATTTTATTACTCTTATTTTATCTTTTCTTCTTTTTCTATCAGGAATTCCTTAATTTTCTTTTACCTCTTTTTCTCAATAGTTTTTCCTTTCATTTTCCTCATTTTTTTCTTCCTTTATTTAGACATTCGTTAGTTTTTTTTTTCTCAAATTTTCTTTCGTTTTTTCTCAGCCTTTCCTTTTATTTCTTTCATTTTCTTTTTCTTTCTCTAGCGTTCTTTTACTTTCTTTTTTCTCTATTTTATCTTTCGTTTTTCCGTCATATTCTTTCTTTTTCAGGCTTTCTTTTTCTTGTTTTTCTCTTTCCTTTTTCTTCAGCTGTTCCTTTTTACGTCCCTTCTTTCTTTCTTTCTTTCTTTCTTTCTTTCTTTCTCATGCATCCCTTTACTCTTTTTTTTCGATTTTCTTCATCGTTTTTCTTCAATCTTTCACTGTATTTCCTTCTTTTTCTTTTTCTTTATTTCTTTCTACTTTTCTTTTTCATAAGTTTCTTTAATTTCTTTCTTTCCCCCTGAATTTTCCTAATTGATTCTTTCGTTTTTAACCAATCATCTTTTTTCTTTCCTTTACTTATTTTTTCTTTTTTTAGGTATTTCTTTTTTTTTCTTTCGTTTTTCCTCAGTCTTTCATCATATTTCTATCATTTTCTTTTTGTTTCTTTTTACCGAGACGTTTAATTTTTTACCTTATCAAGATGCATCATGATATTTTAACCGCAAGAGATATTATTAAATTTCATTAAATCTTTTTTCATAGACGAAATAAAAAAGAGGGGGGGGGGCGCAAATACTTCGTAAAGTGTGACTCTCTCGAATAATGTACCGTATCTGTTTAAGTGTTTTCAAAAACGCTTACGTAAAATATTACAACAAATGGCATCCTCAGTGAACTGAGCACAACTTCGCCACACACAAACGCACACGTACGAACCCACATACATGTACACACACACACACACACACACACACATGATGACTGTCGACTCGCTAAGCGAGTATGACCATCACTGACAAGTTTGATCAATTTTAGTTTTCGTGAGAACGACAATGGCGCTTGAAGTCAGCAAGTGACTTTTTTTTAAATGATATTCACTGTGTACAAGGTTCAAGAGCCATTCGAGGTAGAGGATTGCAGAATTTATGGGGATATGTTGGAAAGATGAAGGTTAAGCCTAGACTTGAACAGGTTACGATTGGTAATTGGGAAAGCATCTTCTTGGGAGCCTGTTCCACAAAACAGCGGTTCGTGGGAAGAAGCTGTTCGAGTGGAACTTACATCTCACCAATGGATTAAAAAGGGAATGAAGTTGGTTCACTATAATGGGTGTAGCATGGCAGGTCTTAGCCGTGAGGGTTGGAATTGGTGGAACTAATGTAATTCGTCTGAACACTTTCCATGGAAATAGCGATAGATCAGCGTGTGGCTTCCAATGTTTCGTCTGTGGGAAAGTGGTTGTAGGGTGGAAAATAATTCATCACCCACAAGGACGCGAAGAAGCGTTTGGATTCTGTAAGTGTTATATTTAGTGGGTAAACTTGTTTGAGTAGGTATCCCTATTTGTTTTGTTTTGTTTTTCTTTCAAATGACGCTTGCAATGCTAATTGCAGATGTGGAAAACTTTGTTGTAGTGTACAGGGCCTGGTCTGTTTTGTAAACTCTGTCCAGCTTGTGACAGATGAGTTCGGGGCGGTTTCTGTGGGTTTTCTGATACAACCTGCATGTTAAGTTGTTCCCAGCATTGTACTGATAATATTTAACAACCCCCCCACAAGGGTGTATATGGCACAAGGCCGGTTTATTGTGGGTACTCCGCGCCGGTAGGCTCGGCTATAAATATTCCCTTTGAATCCGCCTAAACGGGTTCACCCGTCTAAACGGGTTCAGGGACTGTCTACCTCCCCGGACGAAACTTTGCCCTGCGGTAAAGCTTCGTCCGAGTTCCTCTCTGCTCGAGGCAGCAAGTTTGACAGATGAACAATCTATGCAACAACCTTGTACTGATCGTAATTTGTGAAAGAGCTACGAACATATATCTTCTAGGGACCTGCACTGGAGAGACATACACTGCCACAATCATCACACGTAAATTGATGAACTGCTGGATTAATTATTTCCGCTTTCCTAGCTTGACATTTGCCCAACTCGTTGGATGTTCTTGGTGGGTCTTAGAGCCTTCATAAATTGTACACTTCCACTTATATTGATCTCAAGCAGCAGTTTCCCCATTCAGGATTATCCATATGGCAAGCAGTAAGAGACTCTTTCAAACAGTTCTTGAAGCGCTTTCTTAGTTTATGCTGGGTCTGAGTGCCGTAGAGAAATTCGCCAGTGTTGGTGAATGTGCGTTTCCATGGCCTTTTCGGTTAATTAATAATTAAGAAGAAATCTGTTTGATGACATATAACTCCTTATGGGTAATTTAATCCCGAAATTTAATTTTCTTGGGAGATTTGAAGTAATAAAAATGTTATTCTGCCCTCACAAGTGAATACATGGTATATGATACTCAGCTTTTGTGCATATACAGGGTGTCCATAAAGTTCGTGTGCACTTTAAAAAATTATAACTTTATATGTATTTGCGATAGAAATAATCTGTAAAAATGTTATAAAGTTTAATGTACATAGTTTTTAAGTATAGCTAAAATAACTAATGTGATTTCAGGCATTACTGTAAATCAGTTGGCAAATGTTTTCCGTGAACTGCAAAATCGTATTACCCTTTGTATTGCTAATGATGGAGGACATGTGGAAACTTAAATAAAATTTCAATAAAACTTTAAAAAATATAGATTTACTTCTTTCTAATCCTTTTTACAAATTATTTCTATCGCAAATACAAATAAAGTTATAATTTTTTAAAGTGCACACGAACTTTATGGACACCCTGGGCATGTTTGTGTGGACATAATTGCTCGAGGCGGTGATATGTGTGTTTTGTTTTGAAGTTATATTTTGGAATTCACTTTAAGAAATTGTAAGATATTATGTGGATTAATTTCATGAAAGTTCTTTCATGCTGGTTGTTTGACCGATTTAGTTTAGCGGCATATCAACACCTCTATGGGTTATTTAATGCTGAAATCTGAACATTTTGAACAATTTTATGGCTGCAATTAAATATATTTTGAGCACCCTCAACTACAGATAAAATGTATTATTGGCAGTTTTATACTTTCATAGTATTTTCCTGGGGGGGGGGTACTATTTAAATATAGTTGGGGTCCCAATAGTTGCTGCCACACCGGGTCAGGGTGAACCTGGGAGCAACAGCAATTAAGAGGTGGTTCCAGGCTCCTCAAAACCTCTCGATCAGAGGCCTCGCTGCCGGATGTAGTTTATCGTCATATCCAGGACAGAATAACAACATCATCACCACCCTCCTTCTACGAAAAAGTTTTCATTCAAATTATATACTCGACTTTTCATAGAATCCTTCCCCCAGAAACATATAACAAATAAAATCTATTTACACTATTTGGACTATTGTCCACATCTTTGTCGCTATATTTATCACAACGTTTCGGCCTTCTTCAGGTGGTTGGAATTCCTGTTAATTCCACCACACCAAGTTCTCCACTGCCTTAACCGGGTATTGAACTCACACTCTTTGGGTTCTGTCACTGGATCTAACCAACGCCTTTGTCCACTATACACATGTCCTTGATAACTGACATCCATTAAACATGGCACATGAAACTAGAATAGTCTACCGCAGTGAGTGAAATAAAGGGTTCAATTCGACATTCCAACCACCTGAAGAAGGCCGGAGCGTACAACGGCCGAAACGTTGTGATAAATATGGCGACAAAGATGATGATAATAGCCCGAATAATATAAATAGTGTATATAATAACTCATCTCAGAAATATAGACAAAATCTATTTAGTTTTATTTTGTGATGTCAACGAACACTCGTTGCCACTTTTGTAATGTCAACGAATATTTGTTGTCACTTTCGTAATGCTCATTGCAGTAGAAACTTTGTAATCGCAAATACAACTTATTGTATGCCGTTGAACAATACCGGTGTCAGACGCCTTCGAATAAGTCTCGTACTAATAGTACTTAGTCAACTCGCGCGAATAGTAAACCGTATACTGATCAGTATAGAGAAATAGTATAGTAAATAGAGTATAGAATAGCGGTCCGTATAGTGATAGAGTAGAATAGAAATAACCATCCATATAGTATAGAGGATAGACTAGAAATGGAGATCCATATAGTACAGAGAACAGAATAGAAATGTGATTGTTAGGCGTCAGCTACTTCCTACATGTATGCGTTTCCTCTATGGTCACGTGGTCTACTTAATTCAATAATGGGCTCACCTGTGTTTGCTCACTGGTGATCTATGTTCAAACTCAAGTGTCGGTAGTAGCACTTTATTCCTGTATAACAGTTTTAGATTGCAGAACCTGACCAGTGTATTGACAACAAAGATTGTAAAATGAGTTCTTCTTTAGATAACCGTTTCATCTCTTTCATCTTGGTAACAGACCTTTTACGGAATTACTTTTCATGATTCTATATATCCAGGAGTTTTGCGTAACTCGTTTCTGTTGGTGTCTAATAAACACACTATTATCTTAAGGAATAATTCTACTACCATTATAACCAGTTCTTTTCTATTGACGTAGTGGAAATAGAACTTTACATTTGTACAATGATACCTCGGCTTAAGTCGTTTCGAGTTAAGTCATTTTCGAAGATACGTCGGTTTTTATTAAATATTATATGGAAACATAAAACTCGCCTTAAGGCGTTTTACTCGAGTTTACATAAATTTAAAATTAGTTTTTACTTATTTTATTCAGATTTATATACGTACATAGCATAAATATTATAATAGGCAATGAGGAGTGCTTATTTGTGATTTATGGTGTTGTTATTTCGACTTACGTCGTTTTTCGATCTAAGTCGAGACCTCTGGAATCAATTAACGACGTAGGTTGAGGTATACCTGTAAATAAAATCCCATAATTATTTAATGGGGAGTAGAATATTATTTGTTTAATTCTTGGAATCTCAACGTTAGCAGTAATGACCCCTGTGGGTCCCCATGTACCCTTCTGCATATAGTAAGTTTTCAGGGGGAGTAGAGGAGGGGTGCAATAAATTTAACAGAACAATAAAAACTTTTTGAATTTCGGTTGGGACAAGTCTCAACATTTGATATACATATTTGTTTATCTTTTTACAGTTATTGCTCTGTGAGAGGGTGGGAGTCAGGTAAGGGATAACCCTTGTCATCGAATGGGGAGTTAAAAGCAAAGTTCACTGTAAAAAGCTCAGGAATAAAGGAATATTTACAATATCCATTGTATTTTGAACATTTATATTGCTCCAGTTGTCATATGCATAAAGAGCAAATGTCTTCAATCCGAAATCAGGTAGTTTCTCGTGTTTGATCGAATTTCCTGTTCACTGTTCCCGCCTCAACACACTTCCGGTGATGAGTGCTGCTATAATGCAATAAAACAAACGCGTGACAATAACTCTGTTGCATTAACATTAATGGAATCCTCCATATTTGCTACTCATCCCTGCGGAAAAATGAACTCTTCCCCCAAATCAACTTTAACCAATCATCACTTAACTTTTTCAGACTTGACTTCTCATTGGTTAAAAGGGCCCAAAATAATGTAGCAAGTTGCGACAAATCTGTTTTCCTGCTCACCTATCTGGAGCCGGTTTGAAACCCAAAAAATCAATAAATAGGATCACTTCACTTGATTCAGGCAGTCAGGAACTGAGTTTTTGAGAGATGCCAACAAACTTCACATGCGCCACCACACTGACTCAACAATTGCCACTCTCTCTCAGCAACTCACACAACTCAAGATGTCTTGCCGCACGAATTGACCTAACTTACAATTTATTAGAAAAAGTGACATTATTCACTACTGAAGTAGTAATTGTATTTAGTCAACTTATATCAGTCAAAGGCACATAACTCCTTATAACTTTAAACAATATTTACAATTGTTGCACACATACACACTAATATCTGAACACACACAGGTGACATTTCACATTGCAGAAAGCAAACTGTTTTAATTTCATAGACAAACCTTAACTATAAGCTTTCATGCACCAAATCACTGCATGGTCACTCCTTACAAATTTATCTCACTATTCACATTGAACAAGCAATCTTAAAATTCACTTGTGTATATCAAAGGTAAATAAATGCATGTTATTTGTTGAAGTCTATAACTACATTGTTTCTCTTTGATTTCTTCAAATTGAATTGCCTTCAAATGTTTGTTTATTTGTTGTGGATGAATGTTTAACGAACACGCACATTTTTAAACCTTCATACAATCTCACCTTCTGACACATCCAATTTGCTCAAATTCTACAACATATCAGTGAAATTTTAACATAGGGCTGTGTGACACTATGAAACACTGGCAAACGGAAAGAAAAAGGTTAAGTTAAAAACATAAGTTTGGAATGAAATGGAAAAGGGTTAATTTTTTTTTAATTGATTCACACCAAGCAAGGCAGTAAAGCCTCTAAGACACAAGGAGTTACTGGGTGTGAAAGAATTAGAAAACAAACATTATTAAGGAGTGAGAGCAATAGAAAAGTAATCAGGAAAATATAGATTGTCATATGTTGTAGCATACCTATGGACGATAATGGGTATGTCCCCCATTCACATAAATTCAGTAGTAAATACTGTATGTTGATCTGCAGTTGGAGATTCGTCTCCAGGTGCACTGGTCAAACTCTCTAGGCAGAGATGATCCGCTGACAAGGCTATGTTGAAGGACAGTCTCATCTCAGAAAACAGCTACCCGGTAGAGTTTTATATGGGGTGTACGGGAAATTTTTTGCCAAGCCTACAGGCTTGGATACCTGACATTAAATTCAACCTTGTGCCACATCTGACCGTGTGGGGTGGTTGGTAGATATCCTGCAGTTGGAGATTCCTCTCCAGCTGTGCTCGTTCAAGTCTCTGCCTCCAGGCAGTGTCTCGTCTTGGGAAACAGCTACCCGACCCTGTTTTATACAGAGTCTACTGGCAATTTTTGGCTGAGCCTACAGGCTCGGATACCTCACATCAAATTTCGCCTTGTGCCACATCTAACCGTGTGGGTTGGGTGGTAGATATCCTACAGTTGGAGAGTCATTGTGGAATTCACCTTACTTCTAGCAGTTGACTACTACTTATATGCGTCACTGGTGAATCTTATATGTGTTGTTCTTGTCCTAAGTATTATCATCATTACCAACCTTCATTTGCTTATTCTATTCAGTAACCTTCCCTAGATTACAACGACATTGCATTTAAAGATAAAAGTTGGCTGGAAAGCATGGGGCCAGTTCCACAAGCAACAAGTGTGAGAAAAAAAAACTTTTAGCATAGAACTTATGGCTACATTTAGCTAATTCATGAGTAAAACAATGAGACCTTGTGCCAATCTAGTACTGTGCTTAAATTCGTAAAGTCTAGGTACTATAGAGTAAAGTTCATCAGAATAATTACCATGAAAGCATTTATGGGTGTTACTTTATGGTGATGGGAGAGTGATCAAAGCTGAGATGCCAGGTTAGGACAGATAACATTGCAGATTCTTTGTATTTTATAAGGATCTCTAAATACATAGCAGTACAACCTTCAAGAAAAAGTACAACCTTTCAAATAAAAAAAAAAAAAATTTATTTTTTAATAACAATTGTGTGAAACAAGAATAAATATAAATGCATATCGTGCAACAGATATCAAGTTGAAGCAACAAATTGGTGCATCTCCACAGAGGCAGGCTGTTCATTTGCAGTAGCATCGGCTACAATGTCCATGGATGAAGACTGAGCGCCAGATGACTTTTTCTTCTTTTTCTTCTTGCCTCGATTACGTTTTTGTTTGGCAGGGGGTCCCATCTCCAGCAAATTTTCAGTTTCCTGTTTATCAAGATAAAAATTATTCCGATCTTTCTGAACAAGGGCCAAGTGCTCCGAGTATGTGGAATACGACACCGGCATATTGGCCAACATTGAATCTGGGACTGGAATGTCAAGAAGCTCGGGCAACATGTAAGGCTTCAACCAGACGACAAGGGGAGTCGTACCAAATGTGTAGTGAGTTCTTTTATGATAAAACAACACCCCATCAACCTGAAATGTGGAACGCACACAATTATTCATTATGCACACATTAACAACATTATTAAATTATAAAATAATACAGTGAAATAATAGAGAAATGCATTAGAAAATTGCAGACAAAATCGAATAGATTTATTGTTCGATATATTAAATTTCATTTTGTCATTCAATTACCCACCAGAAGAGGTTTTTTTTTGGCTATTGGTTTTGAATATTTAAATATATTTTAGATATGAGGGATATTTAAAAAAAAAAAAAAGGAAACATTGATGGAAAGTAAAAAAATCAAAAAAACAGTAAGAAAAAAAACACTGATCGTTGAGAAAAGAAATCAGTTATGAACACAAGAAAAATTAAATAAAAAGCTTAATCAGAGTGCCTTGTCAGTCGTCTTTAATGAAACATGTATAAAAGAGGGATTGCTGCCCAAATACATAAATATATATTTTTAATTTATTTTTTAAGTTATTTCTAATGGATACTCATATTTAAGATGGTGTATTTTTATTTTATTTAATAAACAGTATATTTATTTTTTTAATTTTATTTAATAAACAGTATATTTATTTATTTCCATCAACTGGCCAGAATATTGGACAAATCTTGTTACAAAAATATGTGACTTCAAATTTGCATCCCCTAAGAAAAAAACGCCATTAGGCCCAATGTGCCTTAGAATACTCGCCATGAGGATCTCCTAATCAAACAATGGCTGAAGTGCATTTTATTTATATATATATATATATATATATATATATATATATATATATATATATACATACACACACACACATATATATATATATATATATATATCTATCTTCTCTTAGGCTGTCCATCATTGCTGACGATGACACTGTCCATCCATCTCCGTCTGTCTTTTTTGGGCTGCCAAATGAGATACCAGACAACAAGTTCTTAGGCACAGGTGGCAGGAAGACATGCCTGGTGTGGAATTGGCAGGTTGCAGATGACACTGGCATTGCACCCCCTTGACCACTCCTTGTCTCCCCTCCTCGAAGTGTGCCACTCCGGCAACACAGAGAGAATGCCAGCCAATCTGATCCCTTGCGAGGTTCTCCAATTGTGTTGGGTCAATATTGCAGGAGACAAGAGCACGCTTAAGGTAGTCCTGAAACCGTTTCTTTAAGCCCCCACATGGGTGGCTGCTGGTCTTGAGCTCTTCGTAGAATACAGTTTTTTGGAGGCGACTGCCCGACATCTGCACAACATACCCAACCCAATGTAGAAGGTATTGTTGGATGATGGCCTCAATGTTGACGACCTCCACACGTTGAAGAAACTCAGTGTCGGGGATTATATCCCTCCAAGTAATGAGCAAGATTCACTGAAGGGAGCAAATGTGGAATGTCTCAAGCAGTTTTATTTGTCGGCGATACCGGGTCCAGCATTCACAGCCGTAGAACAGTGTTGAAACAACAACAGCTCAATAGACAGCTACTTTGGTGGTGAGCCGAAGATTGCTATTAGAGAAGACCTGGAGGCTGAGACATCCGAAAGAACCAGAGAACGTCTTCATGATCGGATATGACACTGCCGAGGTAGATGAATGAGTTAACATTAGACAACAAAACGTTGTCAATGCACAGCCAAACTGCTGGATCACATTGTTTAAATGCCGTTTGAATAAACTCTGTTCTATTTAGATTGATATCAAGACCAAGGTGAGAATAAGCCTGATGCAATGATGTCAGGGACTCTTGTAGTGAGAGTGTCTCATGACAAACTATGGCAGCATCATCAGCATATTGCAGTTAATAGACAGGAATGGTAGAGGTCAGAATCTTAGCTTTGAGATGCCAGGCATTGAAGCCACTTTCATCAAAGCAATATCGGATACATATTCCATCGTTGGGTTCCATATGTAACTGAAAGAGAAGAGTCACAGCAACAGATGTTAAAGAGCACGGGAGCAAGAACGCAGCTCTCTTTGATTCCCATATGCACACTGAACTGTTTTGATGAGGATCCTGCCATGGATGCTTTAGCAAGCATATCCTCATGAAATTGGCGTAAAAAACTCAGAAAGGTTGGTGGACAGCCAAATTTACCAAGCAAAAGCCATAAAGCCTCCTGATTGACTGTTTCAAAGGCTTTATTTGGGTCAATGAAAGCAAAATTAATCTCTCTTTGCAGCTCCCTGCTTTTTTTGAGTAGTAGATGAGTGATGAATATCATGACGAGGGTACTACGTTCAGGTTTAAAGCCATATTAAGATTCTGGCAGAATTTGCTCAGTCACAAAGATGAGAAGACGGTGAAGCATAATATGCATGAGAATCTTCATGGCCACATCTAAGCAGAAAATGCCTCTGCTGTTGCCACAGATGGAGCAATCACCTTTCTTCTTGTAAATGCTTATGATATCCGCATGTTTCCAGCGTTTAGGGATCATTCCGCTTGTCCAGCACAGGTCAAAAAAGGAATGCAGATACGAGGCAAAGTGCAGTCCACCATTTTTGTACACATCACCGGGGGACTTCTTGTTTCTTATGGATTTTATGGCGTTGTTAACTTCATCTGATGTCAGAACAGAGTCCAGTTCTATGAGACCCGGAAGAGTTGGAAGCTTGTTTAAAGCTGGAGAATCAATCGGCATGTCTCTGTTCAAAAGATCCTTGAAGTGCTCAGCCCATCCTGCTAGGATTTCTTCTTTTTCTTTGAGCAAAGTAGAGCCATCAGCAGTACGAACAGGTGCTATGGCATTGCGAGAAGGACTGAAAATATAATTAATGGAATCATAAAACCCGTAAGGTTTGTTTTTGTCAGCAAAATGTTGAATTTCTTCAGATTTCCAGGGCCACCAGTTGCTTTGAGCTTTCCAAAGCTTCCGTTGTGCCTCTGCTCATAAGCGGTGCCAGTTTTGGGCATGAGTATGAGAATGTGGATGCAAACACACACACACATATATATATATATATATATATATATATATATATATATATATATATATATATATATATATATATATATATATATATATATATATATATATATAAAAATATATATATATATAAATATATATATATATAAATATATATATATATATATATATATATATATATATATATATCAAATTTGTGGTGCAGTTCAATTTATATTACATGAATAATTCATACAAAAAGTAGATTAGCAAAGTTAACGATATGAAATGGCGAAAACTCTTCGCAAACAAAATTTTAAAGTTGCATTAACCTATAAACCACTCAATGAATGTTATGATCCTTGTTTTTAATAACCGCAAGCTGTATAAGGTCTTTTTTTTTAATCTGCAAGTACTTTCAGTTGTACATACTGTCATCCTCAGGCATGGAAATTATTTTGTTCTTTAGTAAATCCAGATAGCATCAGAGATGAAAGATTAAATGCGAATTGAAATGTTTTTTTTAGAAATGTGTTATTGTTAACTGATAAAAACTTTTGGAGCATGCAGTCGCAATGCTAAGTTTGAATTTTTTGAAAATTTAAGAGAGTGTGTTTTTTTACTAATATGGCAATTTGAGAATTTTTTTGTTGTAGGAGTTTATCAGTCAATGTGGCAGGAACTAAATTGTTCTCAGCTGTTATCCCGAAAATTTGCACGTCGGATTAGTTCTTTTAAATCAAATATGTGTTGCAGTTCAATTGAATTCATGTAATATAAATTGAACTGCACCGCATATTTGATTACTCTATTTATCCATATATATCATTTCTGGCAGTTTAAGAACATAGAAATACTAGGTATTCAACTATTGCAGATCCAGACGTATTAACACAGTTATGCAAAATGTTTTCATTTGCATTGTGCCAAATATTCTCGAAGTTATTTAAAATCTCAACTGTACAAGAATTTTATTCACATTGTTACACTTTTAAGTAGGGGTGCTGAAAAAACAAAACAACTAATTTTGTGGAATTAGGTTAGAATGAGAACTTTTCAGCACCCCCTTTCAGAAACGTTTATCTACAGCATAATATTCAAATATAAACCCAGATTTTGTTACTAATAGAAAATAAATAATACGTACTGAAAAATTTGCAGATGCAAGAGCGTCGGTGATAATTTCTTTTGTACAGGTGAAATTTGGTAAGGCAATAAATTTGGACTGAAAAGAAAAAAAAAAAAAAAAGTATTCATTAAAAAAATTTGGAAAGAAACAAATAAAAAAAAACATTTCCTCACAGTAAATACAAGATATTTATCTTCTGAAGGATTTTTGTTAAAAAAAAAGTTTGAAATGGGATGAAAAATTTGAATTGAATTAACAATTCTCATATAGGAGGCACTTGGCCCCCCATGGATTTTAATCAGGGAAAAATTTCAGTTATTATATGTCATAAATGTAATAAAAACAATCACAGATGACATTTTAAAATGGAGGATGGTCTGGTTTATGGCATATCAACTTTATTGTAGGTTATTTAATGTCAAATTGTATTCTTTTGATAAACAATAGATAGGTGGACATTGGTCAGTATGAGAATAAGAGGAAAGAAAAAAAAAAAAAAACAGACAGGGGTAGACATGGGTCAGCCTTACATGAGATTTTAAAAAAAAAAAAAAAAAAAAAAAAAATGAGGACTTACACCCAGTAAACAGGTTGTTGCTATGTATTTAAAATACTGATTAATTGAAGAAACCAGAGAAATATTATTTTAAACCATGGATTCTCAAAGTAGGGACACCATTTCCACCACATACACTCACACACACACACACATATATATATATATATATATATATATATATATATATATATATATATATATATATATTCATTATGAAACAGTATTAATGACATTTACCAGCCTGAAATAAAATAATTGTCGGACTTTGTCCATTTCATAATGTGTGACGTCATTTGTTTACATTTGGATACGCATCAAGCAGATATAAATGTACGAGAGAAAATCATAGAGAATTGTAGTTTGAAAACAGTAAAATCGACCTTGCTAACTGAAACACTCCTCTGTGGTGAAATTGGTAAAAGCACGTCAAGTTCCCTATAGGATACAGGTTCGATTCCTGTCGGAGGACGAATATTTT